AAAAAAAAAAAAAAAAAGATTGTTGGACTTTACATTGGTGCTTTTATTGCTTTTCATTTGATATCTTATTAGAGTTTGAAAGCTGTGGTCACTATAAACTGTCATTGTACAAAAAAATGAGTAAAGTATTCTGCAGAAATTCTCCATTCTTGGGAGAATATCAGCATATGCATTTGGAACAAGATGACAATATTCATTTACTGTTCCTTTATTTCTAGCTGTCTCTGTTTCTCTCTGTTAGTGATAGACGTGTTGAGTTTGGAGGATGTGAAGCAGACCGTGGCTGCGGTGGAGAAGATCTCATTAGCTCTGAAGACTCTCAGTGATGTGTATGTGATGTCTTCCTTCCGTCTGCCTCCTAAACTGGGTGGAGTCCTGCTGGGTCTCTACAACAAGCAGGATAACAAGAAATACCTGGAGGTTGCCATCATGAGCAAGATTAACAAAAGTAATGACCATTTGTTTTGTTCTTGCTTTTTCTCTGAAACAGCTTTTCTATTCCATTGGCATCACTGCGTTGGCTGTTTCATATTGTTGACCAACATCCAACAGCTTGTTGCTTATTGTTTCAACATACGTACATTCAGATTTGGCTCCATTTTAACCATCCAATCATTTTCTGATGAATAAAATCAAGTCCCGCCCTACATTTTTTTTCTCATCAAATATTCTGTTTCACTTATAAATACATCACATCACAGAGATAAATGGGTTGCGGATGTGGTGTCTGCTCAGAACATCACTAAAAGGTTTGTTTTACTGTAGTTCTGGTCCGGTATGTTCGTGAAGATGGGAAGCTGCACACAGTCAATCTGCAGAGCCCAAATCTAGCAGACGGACAGTCTCAGTCTGTTATACTCCGTGTCGGTGGCTTGCGCAGAGAGTACCTGAGCCTCGAACTCTATGTGAACTGTCGTCTGGCTGACTCTGCCCAGCGGCTGCCCCTATTAGTCTCTCTGCCCAGAGATGCAGAGCTGGTGGAGATTCGTAATGGCCACAAGGCATACACTCGGATGCAGGTGAGACCAACATAATATGACCTTGATAATATGATGTCTTCATTTTGTTTTCACAATACCTGCACTACCATTCAAAAGTTTGGGGTCTGTATGATTTTGTAGTGTTTTTAAATTTTATTATGCCAATGCTGCATTTATTTAGTAAAAATGTGAAAAATGTTGATTTTTTTTTCAAGTTTAAAATAACTGAATAAACAAATAAATATTATTTTAATTTAAAAGTTTTTAATTTTTAAATGTAATATATTTCTGTGATGGCAAAGCTGAATTTTCAGCAGCCATCACTCCAGTGTTGATTTCACATGATCCTTTAGAAATCATTCATTCATTCAAAAAAAGAAAATTTTTGGTCCAAACTGAGATACTTAATACTTGAAATAGAAATATTTTGTAACAATGTAAAAATCTTTACTATTTTGATAAATTTAATGCATTCTTGCTTAATAAAGTAATTTATTTATTTTTAAAAAATCTGACTAGCCCCAGATTTTTGGACAGTAGTGTGCACTATTCTTTTTTCCATGGAAGACAAAAATATAAATATGATATGACCTGTGTGGATTCTTCAAAAATTCTCCTTTTTGTGTATCACAGAAATAATAAAGCATTCAGGTTTTCATTGAGTGAATTATTCCTTTAATTTTAATTAAATGAGAGCTTAGATGTTGTGATTGGTCTAGAACTGAAATCCAGATATCAAGACTAATATTATATCAAATACTATAATCAAATGTTTTTTCTTCCAGGGTTCAGTGGAGTATCTTAAAGTGGCTCTAGGGAGCACTGTTGCCCAGGCAGGGGCTCTTACTGACTGCCCCTTTCAGGGAGACGCCTCTTCATATAACATAGGTTAGCCAGCTCAGCATCAACACGGGATTGTACATGGAGCTTGAATATACAGGTTTTTGATTGGTTGCGAAGTCTTTGTCTGAAATATTTTTGTTTAAACTTTGTTTTTCAGTGAACGGTGAGGTTAATTCTATTCTAGGTGAGTCTGCATTGGTGAAGTCATGATATGCAATTTGTTTGTTTTTTATTTATTGATTTAATTTGAAGATAATTGATTCTTTTTGTACAGGTGACCACACTAAAGCTCTGATTGGGCAGTTGATCATCTTTAATCAGATCTTGGGAGAGCTGAGAGAGGACATCAGAGAACAGGTGTGAGTGAGTTAGTGTATATATGTGAGGGAATCTACTTCTGAGCATGTTTGATTTATGTGTTTTTGCACTATTTAGGTGAAAGAAATGTCTCTCATCAGGAATGCTATTCTGGAGTGCCAGATGTGTGGTGAGTAGCAACATCAAACTATAATACCAACCTGACAAAGCAACAAAAAACAATTTTCAGTCCTATTTGTAGTGCAGTTGGGTTAAAAAAAGAGTGATAACCAAACTAGTTGTTTGTCATGCCTTTGTACATACCAAAGGATTCCTGACATTAATAGATTTATACTATTTTTATACAAACTGTTTATTACATGTGATCAGTGAGTGAGTGATCATTCAAAAGTCTGTGGCTGGCAAGATTTTTTTTTTAAAAAGAAGTCTGTTATGCTTAACAAGGCTGTATTTATTTGATAAAAAATACAGTAAAAAAATAGCAATATTGTGAAATATTAGATATTAAAAATAACCATTTTCTATTTTAAAATGCAATTTATTTCTGTGATGGCAAAGCTGAATTTT